GCCACAGGGAAGTACAAATGAGGTAAGTTAAGTTTTTTTTTTAATTAAGAGCTACGTATTTGTAAATATTATGATATTCTTATTTTATTAATATAAACTGACTAGCCATTAATGGATGTCTTAATGTAGATTAGAAAATACCTGGTAATTACTACTGCTATTTCTTCTAACATTTAAATTTTTAATTGTGAATTTTTAACATGGTTTTAAAATATTTAACTTATTCCAGACATTATATATGATTTAATTTGCATAAAAATACAAGAACTGAGTATCATAAATGAATGTTTGATTTGTTTCCTGAATGTGTAGAAAATTTCAAAATTCTTAAGCTCTGACATGGTGCATTCTGCTCTATTGCAGAATGAAGCAAGTACAGTTATGAGGTGTGGGGAAATTTAACTACTGGAGAGTATTTAAACGAAACTATAACCTTTAGAGTTTGTTTTTAGCTGGGTGCAGTAGCTCTTGCCTGTAATCTCAGCACTTTGGGAGGCCAAGGCAGGAGACTCGCTTGAGGCCAGGAATTCAAGACCAGCCTGAACAACATAGCGAGACCCTGCGTCTGAAAAAAAAAAGAAAAAAATTAGCCTGGTGTGGTGGTTGCACACCTGTAGTTCCATCTACTCAGGAGACTGAGGTGGGAAGATTGCTTGAGCCCAGGCCACGGCAGCCTGGGTGACAAAGCAAGACCCTGTCCCTTGAAGGAAAAAAAAAAAAAAGAATTTGTTTTTGTTTTTAACTTTGGCTTTTGAGTGACAGTTACCCATACCAATTTAAGCAGGTTCCAGTCCAGGATGCATTCTAACTTTCTTGGCATACTACAAGATTTGACCTGTAAATTAGTGTTCATTTCTCCTACTGCACATGTGCAAAACTATATATCTGAGGAAAGAATCTGAGCTTCCATGAAGGAATCATCTGTTACACCAAGAAAAATTCTCTCTCTGGAGTCATTTAGGTCATTATCTTGAGGAAGCAAAGCTGATCTTGAACAACTACAGAGACAGTATTATAATTCTTTCCTCAGTTTCTACTATAGCATATAAATATCTGGATTATGTCCTCTAATCAAATACCAATGATACACTTAATATTTACAAGTCAATAAGGAGTCATTCTATTTAAAATTTGGTAAAATAAACTCACTAAAAAAGTAAAAACAAATTGCAACTTTGTAAATCAAATCTTAAGAAAAAAAATCTAAGGTTTTAAGAGAACTAGGATTAAACTGAATGTATTAGAACCAGAATATAACAGAGACGATATCATATTGCACCAATATGCATTCACAGAACTAAAGATGGTACCATTCAAACTTAATGACTTAAGAAAATCAAAAGAAAATAGCTATACAGATTCACAACTGATAAAAAGTAATGGAATTTCCTGGGAATAGATTAAAGGATCCTAAACTTTTATCCAGCCTTTTAAAATATTCAAAGACTCTTTACAAACTCCAGAACTAAATCAGACCAAGTCATTAGTAACTGAGTGTTCAGCATGTGAAAGTCAGAGAAGGGGATGAATTCTTAGACACCAGGCTAGGGGGTAGGGGAAAATCATAAAAATATTTATGAACACATATAAAGCAGTATACAATACACAAAAATTTATATGATTCAAACACTGTTAAATGGACACAAAGAATGATCGAGGTAGTTTTAATGAGGAAACCTGGCTTTCTGAGATAATGTTTCTAAATAAGGTTTTGTAGGACATGAGCTAAGTAATGGAAACAAGCAAAGAGCATGTCAAGCGAGGGATCCTAGTGTGGTAGGGGAGGGGCAACATATATGCTTAGTTGCATGATGGAGGAAATGATGGAGAATAAAATTGGTCTCATTCTGGAAAACATATTGGAAGCCCAGAGAGCAAGTGGACTAGCTATGTATAATAAAGTAGTTATTGGCAGTCAGAAGTTATGAGCTCTTATAAATCATCTAAAACTGATAATATTCACAATCTGAGTTCTTAACACACCCCTGGGGCATAGTGGTTGGGAAGCTCTACTCCAAGAGGCATGCAAGGTAAAAGGAAACGCAGTTTGAGAATAAAACATTTACCATGATCAATCCACAAAAGTGGTAACACACACACTGAAGAGTTGAAAATACTTTTGAGTTTTAAGATATTAGTTATTAATTTACATTAATCTTATGTAGAGCAATGATATAAAGATTTAAAAATCAGCATGTTAAATTTTATATAGTACCATAAATTAATTAAACTAAAAAGGAAAAATTTTATATCTATGTGTTTAATAAAATGTTTTATAATCTTGATTCTTGTACTCTAGGCTTTATACAAGCTTTACAGTGCGGCAGCAACTCACAGACATCTGTATCATCAAGCTTTTCCTACACCAAAGTCGGAATCTACTGAACAATCTGAAAAGAAGAAAATTTAATCCAAATTTTAAAAAATACAGGTGCATGACCAATTGTCAAGTAAATATTCAGTTTTATGTCTCCGTGCAAACATTCAAAGTGCTTCCATCAGAACAGAGTAAAATGCCAAACACCTCTGAAAACTGCAAAATGGATTAGTTCTTTTACTTGAGTGTTTAATAAGCAAATGTACGTATGCATGGTTATATCATTTTGTTAACATGTACAATTTCCTGATTTTTGTCTCCAAATATGCTGTTATAATTTAAAGTATTTGTCTATTTTTGATAACAGTATGTGTTCTGCTTGAATTTGCTAAATTCTACTACTGGGTTATAATTAAACCATGTAGTGATACTATTCCACGTTTGGATATGCTCATTTAATTTCTACAGAAAAAATTTTAAATGATTTCACACAGCCACTTGTAAAAGCATAGCATCGTAACTCAGCAGGCTTGATTTAATCTATATCATCTTACATATACTGTGATCTCTTAGTTATTTTTAAGTACATTAAGAGCTTTTCAGTTGCTTTACTGTATATATTTGCTTCTTTTACATGATTTAATATAGAATATAAACCTCTTGATCAAAAATGCACAAAAAAATCACTTTGTATATGTATTTAAGTTTCACTGCATTGTATATTTTTTCATTTGGTACACAAAGAATGTATTCTTCATAGGTTTATTCTTTTAATATGTGAACTATTATTAAAGTTTACTCTGGTTCCTAAGATTAAAAACAAATGCTTACTGAATTTGAAAATGTCTGGAAGGTGTTGGTACAGAATGATGACTCTTTTTTTTAATTCACGATGCATTTTCTTTAATGTTGATGGCATTAACAATTTAAGTTTCCATTTTAAGAAACATACTAATCCCTTTAGGTACCTTCCAATTCTTTTAAACTAGTCATTCTATATTTTATCTCTAGTGACTAAAATCTCTAATGGAGGCCGGACGTGGTGGCTCAGGCCTATAATCCTAGCACTCTGGGAGGCCGAGGCGGGCGGATCGTTTGAGCTCAGGAGTTCGAGACCAGCCTGAGCAAGAGCGAGACCCTGTCTCTACTAAAAAAATAGAAAGAAATTAGTTGGAGAACTAAAAATATATATAGAAAAAAAAATTAGCCAGGCATGGTGGCGCATGCCTGTAGTCCCAGCTATTCGGGAGGCTGAGGCAGACGGATCGCTTGAGCCCAGGAGTCTGAGGTTGCTGTGAGCTAGGCTGACGCCACGGCACTCTAGCCCGGGCAACAGAGACTCTGTCTCAAAAAAAAAAAAAATCTCAAATGGAGTTTCACTGAGCAGACCTCTTAAAGACAAAAAAAAAAAAAAAAAGGATGTGTTAATGAAAAAAGAAAAGTAATACTTCTCATCTAGGAGATCCAAAACGGTGATTTCTAAAGACTGTCTTAGAAATGGCTATATCTTAATTAAATTAAATGGCAGTATAAAGTAAAGAGTAAGAGGAAAGAACAACTAAGATAGAAGAGTGTGTGTAAACACCTAAGATATATAAACTTACATCTTAGAAAAGTTTGATCATAAATTCAACAAATTATCTCTTCCCAAGGATAAAATTTCACTAGCCATACCTTCATTTTTCAATACCCTTTTCATTATATTGCTTCCTTTGCCTCTGGGCCTTCTGAACAAAAAATAAAATATTTATAACACTATGTCTAAAACATGGACTCAAAAACCACACATTTAGTTTCCACAAAAATATATTTAATAAGCTTGTTATATAAAATCAAACACTTAACATTTTCAACATTTCATCAATAATTCAAACTTATCAGGAATTCAAACTCACTGATATTTGAGAGTGCTTTGTATTTTAGAAGACTGCCTAAACTTAAAATGCATTTACATATTTACAACACATGTAAATAGAACTGAAGAACTACTTCAACTAATGTTGAAATTCACAGAATTCTAGAGATTTAAAAAGCCTAGAAGTATCATAAATTTGTCTATAATCAAATGTACTGCACTAATTACGAAAAATGCCTTAAGTACTACTATTAAACCGAAAAGGAAAAAAATTGGGAGGGAAATAAATGGTTTTAAAGTTCTTTGATAAATGCTTAGAAGATAAAATAATATAAAATCAATTTAATGACCAAAATTTCTTACTGAATCCCTGATTGTCATTTTTGGCAGCTTAACCCAGTCTGTCAGTACGCAATGTGCTATGCTGTCAGGAACCCTCCCATGTCATCAGTACTGCTCTTAGGTGCAGTAAGAGCCCCGGCTGAAAATAAGAAAGTAATATCAGCAACTTCAAGTGCTGCACACACCTTCCCCATACAGGCTAAGGTCTTATGCTTATATGTATTCCTGAAAGATTTAAAGGCTCTTCATCTTTCTATACCAAAAAATACTTTCTCAACATGCTTTAAAAGGGTTCCTTACATGGGGAGGACAACAACATACATTATATATAGAAACCTATCACAGTAAAGTTTCCATCTCCTATTTCATATTTTGAACTACATTATGGTAATACTTAAACTATCCCATTTCAGACAATAGTCCACACTAAAGCAGTAAACACCTTTTTAAAAAATACTGCATAGATTGTCTTTTTTAAAAAAAAAAAAAGAAAGGTACTGCTGCTTTAAGTTAACAAGTGATCATTTCCTGTTTAACATCTCCTCTTAATCACATTTCTTGCTGCATTTTCTCCATCAGGAATATTCAAAGCAGTTTCCTAATACACAGCATTTGAAAATGTTTGCCATGTTGGCTCTTAAAATGATAAACTCATTTTTTTGTTCAATAAAAGAAAATTTGCAATAACAAAATACATGTAAAATTAGAATTTTATGATTTCCAAAAAGTAAGCTGCCTTTATTAACCAAAGTACTTGTTTGCAATGTTTTATTTGTGAAAGTATTTTAAAGTTTTTATAAAACTTAAATTTTTAAAAAATTAACTTAAAAATTCTTGCCATGTTGTTGGGCATACCACTGCTGTCTCTGCTTACGGTTTTCCAACTCTGAGAGAAGAGCTTGTCTATATGCTTCATACATTTTAACAATCTGTTCTAGTTCTTTCATGAAGAGCAACTTTAGCATTCCCTGGTATGTATCCAGGTCAGCCAGCTGGAAGAGTTCCCACTTCAGAATGTGGTCATATCTGTTTGAAAACACAGTCATACATATGTTCACAACACATACATAAACATGTATATATAGCAATAAACTAGTCTATTTTTAAAACTATCAATTTTATTATAACTAAACAAACCATAAGTTTTAATTAAAAATAACTGAGTTATTAACCGTGTTTAAATACACTATTTTTTTAGGAGCAAGGAGAAAACTGCTAACATTACTTCACTTCTTATTTAAGTTAAAGAATACCCATTTTTTAAACACATTAACTGCCACACACACAAAAAAGAAACTTTTCCTTTGGGCCACAGTGTTTTATTATGACAACAGAATAAAAATTCGAGTGTAATTTAAAGGTAAACATAAATAGAAAAGCGAAATTTACTGACTTCTATTCATTTAATCCATGTTTTTAGAATTAAATTGTCAATATTAATTGTAACAATAAGAACATTAACAAGATTTTATATATGCTTCGCACAGCCCGAGGGTCAAAACTAGAGTGAGTTAAATACAACTCTCATGGCAGTTAATGTGTTAATTATTTGAGTTATTCTAATATTAACACTAGACAACTATGAACACAGATTTCAAACTACAGTGGCTCTATAATTTCTAAAGAATACATTCTATGCTATTTGTAAGTTCATCCGAAGTTAATTGTCAGGAAAATAACAATACTTTAGATGGCACTGTGCTTGCATTGCAAATGATAATGCATAAAAATGGGCAAAGTCATTTATGTCGTTAGTGTTGACAGATGTCTTTGAGGAATGCTGTTCATACACTAAACAAGGGTCCAAACAGGAGGAGGAGGAACAAAGAGGAACCATCATTCATGGGCTAGTATTCCTAAGGCTGGGTACATAATAGTATTTTTAAAAAACAGAAAAACTCAAGAAGGAAAGAATAAACTGTTCTCAAAATGCACAAATAAGTAGACTGTAGAATACTCCACAATGTGGCAAAGGACTTATGTAAGATTATATTTACACATATCTTGGAAGGCCTTTAGTAGTAGATAACTGCTTACACAAGGCAGCCATTGTACCATGTACTTTAAAATGCATTATCTCCTTTAAGCCTCACCAAACAGAGTAAGGTAGATAAGATTATTAGTCCCCATGTTTCAATAGAAGAAAAACACTCAGATCTAAGTTCAATAACTTGCCCAAGGTCATTCAGTAAATAGATGAGGGAGCCAGAAATCACACTGTTTCCCACCTGAGCAATCTTAACCACTATGTATCTACCCCCAATATTAACCATAATCATTTACTGAAATCTCTCAATGTGCAAGGCACTATGGCAAATATTTTAGATACATTTCCTTATTGAACTTTAAATAACATTAAGAGTAGGTACTATTACTATCCCAATTTAAAGAAGACAAAACTATGTTAAACAGCCTGCCCAAAGTTACAGTTAAAAAGTACCAGAGGACTCAAATCAGCTCATCACAGAACTCATGTCACTATGCTGTACTACTTCCTTGTGTCCTGCTTTGTTCCACCCACATGTCTAGGACTTACATGAGTCCTTATTTTTATCAAAAGTACTGTATCACTTATTTACAAGTTAATCTTCCCCTATGAGAACATAAGCTTCTTATTATATCCCTAATAAGCAGAGGTATGCACACAAAGAAGTGAAGATTCAATAAATATTTACAGAAGTAATATTTCTAATCAATCATTTTCAAACTTTATAAGCTATGACATCTTTTCTTCAAATGCAATATTACTTAGCAGCCCAATATTATTAAGAGAAAAACCTGGAGCTACTTGGATCAAGCAGCCAGAGACTCCATTTAGCCCTGCACTCACCCCTCAAAAAAGAATTGTGCTATAAATTTACTTACTTCACAGGGGCTCGAGCATAAACCTGAAGCCAGTCAGGAATTTCTGCAGTATGATATGGATTTGCAGGTACTAGAAGGGACTGATTTCTTTCAGTTTGCTGTGGCTGGTATGTGACAGGAGGTGGTTGATCATACCGAGGTACACTAAGAAGAAAGAAGTAACATTCATTAGGATAAAAGCCCTAAATCTAAACAAGAAATTATAAAGAATAATATTTAAGCATCTTTCAATGTGCCTCCTGCCCAAACTGACTTCTTCCTACCACCTAAAAGATAATTTCCTATGATAAAGGCCTGGCTTTCTTAATCATGCTATAGGGAAATCAAATCCACCTTCTCTTGGAAACTGGTATGCTGCTAGTGACAGATATAAACCTAAGCTAAACTTTTACATATCTTTAGGAGATTTCTTCTGGCTAGTATTTATTCAAAAGAAGCATATATAAAATCTTATTTGTTGATGTTCTTATTGTTACAATTAATATTGATAATTTAATTTAAAAATAAGGACAGCTTCAAAGGAGGCCATAAAAAAGCTGGAACTAAGTTGTAACGTTTACACAGAAGCTTAAAACTAGAATCATAAATTTCTACAATAACTAGTAATTAGCTATAAATTCATATTGGAAAGATTGATAATTTCTCCCCAAATGAGAATGGATGTTTTCTTACTCCTGGAAGCTGAAAAGGGGGGTTGGGATATGTAGTGCAGCAGGGTTGAGTACGGGGCTTTAAATATCCACATTAAATGTAGATAACTTTTCTAATTTTACCACCTTAAGAGAACATATGGGAGTTAGAGTTGATTAAAACCTATTTTAAATCACAGAGACTTAAAAAAAAAAAAATGAAAAGAAAAAAGACCATACATTAATCAGTGCTAATAGCCTGTGTATGCTTTGGGGAGAGAAAGAATAGCAAAGTAGGGAGGTGGGGTATCAAGTGCTAAGGAAAGCATTGAACTACCTGAAAGTTAAAGCCTGAATTCTGGGAGGCAAAAAAATTTCAGACTGAAAGGGGTCTGCCTTCAAACAGATTCATGTGTACATCAGAAAAGGTCACTGTTTACTAAACTGGAATTAAAATAAGGGTTAAGATACACTGTGGCTATCAATTTAGAGATCAACATGCAAATAGCACTGAATTTTACCTTCAATTCTTCTTTCCTAAGTAAGTTCAAAGGGAAATATTCTTTGATAGCACAACTACAGGGTGGGGAAGAAATGAGGCTTTGAAGTTAGATATGCCTGGTTTTCGCCTCAGCTGAACGTTTACAAATTGTACAAATGTAGGCAAAACTGCTTAACTTCTCTAAGCCTCAGCCTCCTTAGTTGTAAAAGTGGAAGAATAAATTCATAACATAAATAGTTGTTCTCAGGATTAAATGAGTTAATGTAAGCCGAGAGTTCTGTATAAGGACTGCCATAATATAGACAATCAAACAGCTATTAGTACTACCTATGTGAGTATAAGGATAGTGTATATTCTCACACTGTTTATTCTCTGGTGTTTAACTTGTACAGAGTTGCTGAGAGAAGCAAATCAATTAATTGTGAAAGTGCTTTATAAACTATAAAAATTCTGTAATAATGTAAGATTAATGATGAGGAACAGAAAGTAAACTCTCAAATCTGGCTATCTGGACCACAAAGATCTCTGCTACCTCATGACAACAAACTGTAACCACAGGTTTGATTATTTTGAAGGAGGACAACCTCGGTAGTTCAATAAACATTGACTGAGTGTCACTAAATGGAATCCCTGGAAAAAACTGATTTTCAAAGTTGAATCAATAAATCCAAATATGAAAAATAATTGAAACAACACAACAATGATAAAGCTTAGTCTTCTAGGTGACAATACTAAAATGTATTTTCACAATTTTAACGCTCCTAAAAAAAAATACAAATGTCCACTATAACCAAAAATCTGTATTATGCCAGATGATACTAAGAAACATCTATCAACATGCTGATGATATTTTACCCATTTTTAATCTTATGGCTCAGTTCTTGAAGCTCAAATGTGGTTAATTTGAAATACTTGCAACTTCATTAAGTTAATACTAGCTTATAGGTACTTCAAAATCCAGTGTGTATTTACACTTACAGCACATCTCAATTTAGATTAAACACATTTCGAGTCCTCAATAACCACATGTGAAACTGACTACAGTATTAGCACAAGACTAAAAGTCTGGTAACAAACAAGATCTAGCGATAAACCCAGTATCAATCAAAATAGACCAAAGAAGTGCTAACGGTTCTGGGATGTTTTGTCCAGTCCTAATTTTTGCTTTCTTATCTGGTAACAGTAAACAAACAAACAAACAAAATATATATATATATGCATAATTATGTCTGACATGGAATAAAAACAGCAAAATGTTATAATTCAAAAGTATATTTTGACTTAATAGGAGGTAGTCTGTATTATTTATTGTAATTTAAATATAAGTCATTGTATTTAAATACAATATTTATTTCAATTTCTGGATATCTACAACAAAAACATTCTGGCATATTAAAGCAAATCTGATAAGAAAACTGATCCTATTTCTGAGGTTGTTTAAAAAGAAAAGTGTTTTTTTAAGTATTTTTTTAAATGATTAAAGACATTAATTACTAAATGTAACTCCAGAGAAAAATGTCATAAATTTTGAAAAATAAGGTTTTGAAATCTCAAGCTTTAGGATCCCTTTCTCGTAGATGAAAATATGAATCCAAAATCTAACATTAGGCAATCTCAAAATAAAAAGTTGAGAATAAAGTCAATTACCTAGGAGCACAGGGATGCCTGTACTGAGCCTTCTTATTTGTGTGATCTACATAATAGGTTCCAAATTCTGATGACTCAACTCTCTCCCATCCAGGAGGAAGTCCTTCTCGCTCAAGAGGATGGCTCCAATGAGTTGTATTTGTGTTATGATCTATATAATATTTTCTCCCTCTCATTGTCCAGTCCACAGACCAGCCAGGAGGAAGGGGTAAATCTTCAGAACCATGGTTAGTTAAATTTCCTAAAGATGTAGCAGCAACTCTCCCAATACCTGTAAGAAGGAAAAAGAGAAGAAACAGAACAATTATTCTAGGCTAAAAAATATGCCAATTTAGAAACAGTTACAAAATTAACTATTCCTGATTGTACTCTCCTGTTAAAATTCATAATTACATCATTATAAAGTTTTTCATAAAACTAGCCAGTATTACTATTAATTACAAAAAAGGGAGGAACTAGACTTTGAAATTAATAGGGGTTTTGTTTTTTTTTGGTTTATGCTTCCATTACCAAGCCATACAAACATTAAACTACAGGTTGAGCATCCCTAATCTGAAAATCCAAAATCCAAAATGCTCCAAAATCCAAAAATTTTTGAGAGCCGACATGACATCACAAATGGAAAATTCTACATTTGGCCTTTATAGGAAGAACTGTAGTCAAAACACAGTCAAAAGTTTATTTTATGCAAAAAATTATTAAAATATTGCATAAAATTACCTTCAAGCTATGTGTAGAAGGTGTATGTGAGACATAAACGAATTTCATGTTTAGATTTGGGTCCCATCCCCAAGATATATCATTATGTAAATGCAAATATTCCAAAATCTGAAATTCAAAATACTTTTTGGTACCAAGCATTTTGGATAAGGGATAATCAACCTGTACTAGCAAAGCTAGTATACTGCTATAGAAAATGCAAGAAAAAGAAAATATCATCTCTTTAAAGACCTAACATTTCATCCAAAAAAAAAAAAAGCAAAAATGAACTTGTAAAACCATCCCAGTTTGTAATTTCTTAAAAATAATCTGGCTGTGTCCTAGAATTACTAAGATAGAATGGTATAAGGTCAACATACAAAAATTACTTAAACATCTATATACTAACAGCAATTGGAAACAAAAGTTAATGAAATAATACCATTTATAACAGCTCAAAAAGTCAAATATTTACATATAAATTGAACAAAATATGTGCAGGATTGATACACTGGAAACTACAAAAACACTGACGAAAGAAATGAAAAGTCCTACCATGTTAATAGATTAAAAGACTCAACATAGTTAAGACATCAGTTCTCCTGAAATGATCTTAGTAGTCCTCCCTTATCCATTCCCAGTGGATGCCTGAAATTGCAGATAGTACCTAACCCTATATATAATGTTTTTTCCTATACATGCATACATGACAAACTTTAATTTGTAAATTATGCCCAGTAAGAGATTAACAACAACAGCTAATAATAAAATAGAACTGTAACAACATACTGTAATAAAAGTTATGTTAATGTGATCTCTCTCTCAAAATATCTTACTGTACCGTACTCACCTATTTTCAGACTATAGTTGACCAGGGGTAACTGAAACTGGAAAGCAAAGCTGCGGATAAGGGTAATTTCAATCAAAATTCCAGCAGGAGTTTTTGTAGATATAGACAGATATTAGGCAAGCACTTTTTAAAAAAAAACTCATTGTTTCTTTAGCAATTTAATACAATTAAGAAAATGGGATCACTAGTAACAAGTGTTTGTATTTCTATACAAATATATACAATGATTAATTATTAAATGATATTTCTGTCTGGAAAATTGAATTTTTTTCATTAATAACTTTCAACTATTTTGACTAAATTTAAATTAGTGGTATTTTTTTATTTCAAAATATTTAAAATTATTATGGGTACATAATATAATAATTGTATGTATTTATAGGGTACATGTGATGTTTTGATACAGGAATACAATGTGAATTAATCAAATCAGGGTAACCATCACCTCAGGCTATTTATCATTTCTTTTTGTTAGGAACTTTCCAATTCTACTCTTTTAGTTATTTTAAAGTATACCCTAACTTATTATTGATTATAATCTACTTTGTTGTGCTATCAAATATTGTTCATTCTATTTAACTATATTTTTGCACCCATTAACCATCCCAACTTTATTCCCCCTCCCCACTACCCTTCCCAGCCACTGGTAACCATCATTCTACTCTGTCTCCCTAAGGTTGTTTTTAACATTTAGCTCCCACATATGAGTGAGAACATGCAAGATTGTCTTTCTATGCTTATTTCACTTAACATAATGTTCTCCAGTTCCATCCATGTTGTTATAAATGGCAGGGTTTCATTCTTTTTTATGGCTATATAATATTCTGTTGTGTGTATGTACCACAATTTCTTTATCTGTTCATCTGTTGATGGATACTTAGGTTGATTCCAAATCTTGGTATTGTGAATAGTACCACAATAAACATGGGAGTGCAGGTATCTTTTCAATATACTGAATTCTCTTCTTCTGGATATATACCTAGCAGTGAGGCCGCTGGCTCATATGGTAGCTCTAGTTTTAGTTTGTTGAGGAACTTTCATACTGTTCTCCATAGTGGTTCACTAATTTACATTCCCACCAACAGTGTACAAGAGTACCCTTTTTCCACATCCTCACCTGTATTCATTATTGCCTTTTTGATAAAAGCCATTTTAACTGGGGTGAGATGATATTTCATTATAGTTTTGATTTGCATTTCTCTGATGACTAATGATACTATTTTTTCATGTATCTGTTGGCCATTTGTATGTCATCTTTTGAGAAATGTCTATTCAGATCCTTTGCTCATTTTTAATTGGATTATTTGATTTTTTCCTATTGGGTAGTTAGAGCTCCTTATGTATTCTAGTTATTATTATAATCCCTTGTCAAATGGATAGTTTGCAAATATTTTCTCCTATTCTGTGGGTTGTCTCTTCATTTTGTTCATTGTTTCCTTTCCTATGCAGAAGCTCTTTAGCTTGATGTGATCACATTTCTCCAATTTTGCATTGGTTGCCTGTGCTTCGGAGGTATTAATCAAGAAGTCCTTGCCCAGACCAATGTCCTGAAGCATTTCTCCAATGTTTTCTTTTCGTACTTTCATAGTTTTAGGTCTTACATTTAACTCTTTAATCCATTTTGATTTGATTTGGCAAGAGATAAGGGTCTAGTTTCATTCCTCTGCATATGGATATCCAGTTTTTCCAGCACCATTTATTGAACAGACTGTCCTTTCCCCACTGTATGTTCTTGGCACTTTTGTCAAAGATTAAGTTCACTACAGATGTGTGGATTAGACAAGCAGACTTTAAAATGTATTACTGAAAGGCAAAAAAAGAACTAGAATAGCCAGAACAATTTTTTTTTAATAATATGACTCACACGACCTGATTTTACTATAAAGCACTATAAAGCTACAGTAATCAAGACAGTATGGTATTGTCAAAAGAACACACAAGATCAATGGAATAGAACAGAGAATCGAGAAACACACCCACACATACATGGCCAACTGATTTTTGACAAAGGTGAAAACGCAATTCAGTGGACAAAGAATAGTTTTTTCAACAATGGTGTTGGAGCGACTGTACATCCATGAGCAAAAAAAACTAGTCAAAACCTGTATCTCCCACTTTATACACAAATTAACTCAAAATGGACTATATATGTAAATTTAAGATGTAAAACTATAAACCCTTTAGAAGAAGAATATAGGATAAATTTTCATGACCTTAGGCTAGGCAAAGAGTTCTTAATCATGATGCTAAAAGTTCAACCCATAAAGGAAAAATACTGATAAATTGGATTTCATCAAAATTAAAAATGTTTGCTCTGAGAAAGGCAGTGTTAAGAGAAAGAAAATAAGTTACAAAACGGGAGAAAATATTTGCAGAGCACATATGAGACAAAGAACTTTCATCTAGAATATATAAAGAACTCTCAAAACTCAACATTGGGAATTTAACCCCGAGCCAAGCACAATGGCATGCACCTGTAGTCCCAGCTACTCGGGAGGCTGAGGCAGGAGAATCACTTGAGTCCAGGAGTTCAGGGCTATAGTGCTCTATGATCGTGCCTGTGAATAGCCACTGCACTTCAACCTGGGCAACACAGCAAAATCTCATCAAAGAAACAGAGGGAAGGAGGGAGTAAGGGAGGAAGGAAGCAACCAACCTACAAATTAAAAAAAAAAAAAAATGGGTAGAAATTTTAGCAGGCACTTCACCAAAGATATATAGATGGCAAATAGCACACGAAAAAATGCTCAATGTCATAATTGGCCAGGAGGGAAATGCAAATTAAAAACAATGAAATGACAATATGCATCTATGAGAATGGCCAAAAAAACAATCAAAACCTGACAATACAAGTTCTGATGCAGATGTGGAGCAACTGGAACTTTCATACACTGCTGATGGGAATGCAAAATGCTACAGCCACTCTGGAAAACAGCTTAGCAATTTCTTTTAAAGTTAAACATATGTTTTCCATAGGATACAGCAATCACGTTCTTAAATATTGACCCCAGAGAAATGAAAATCCATCTTCACACAAAAACCTCCATGTGGATGTTTACAGTGACTACATTCATAATTGCCCAAAGTGAAAAGAACACACATGTCCTTCAACAGCATGGATAAACAAACTAGTACAACCATACAGTGGAATCTACTCAGCAATAAAAGGGAACTAAGCATTGGTACATGCCACAACATGGATGAATCTCAAAGGCATTATGCTGAGTAAAAGCAGCCAGTCTCAAATGGCTATGAATTGTATGATTCCATGTTTATGAGATTCTTGCAAAGATAAAACTACTAGGACAGAAAACAGTGGTTGCTAGGAACTGGGAGTTGGGGGCAGAAGTTGATGACAAAGGGACAAGAAAAGGAAATTTTGGGGGTGATGGAAATGTTCTATATCATAATTGTGCTGGCATTGCACGAATCTATACATATGTTACAACTCAGAATTGTGTACATGAGAAAAAAATTTAAGTTTATTATATGTTAAAAAAAATAAAAAGGAATAACCTGGCTGTGTAATTTTATTCTCACACAGAATATTAGTAGTGTATGTATAACAAATCACCTCAAAACTCCAGTGGCTTAAAACAAGGAGTACTTACTTAGTTCGTAAGTCTACAGGTTAGTGATATAGGCTGAGCTCTGTGTTTCCTTGTTACTTGGTACAAGTTATCATTACTATATCATTACTTGATGCAAGTTATCTCTTGCAT